GGCAGAACCTTGTGGAGATGAAGTCGTTCAAGTTCCGCACGGGGCTCACCTTGTGCGACTTCCAGGGCGGCGAAGAGCTTCCTGGAAAGAAGACCGCGCCGGTGAAGGCGTTGTTCATGGATGCGGCGGGGCGACTCTTCGTCCACGACCAACTCGACGACCGCACGGCCGTGCAGAACTACAAGAACCTGTTCGATGAGAACGCCGCGAACGCTGGCGGCGGGTTTATGCCCCGCGGCGGCGGAGGGCGTGGCGGCCGCGGCGAATTCCGTTGAGGCTGGGCAGGCTCACGGCTGCGTGAGCCCGGTTAGGGTGAGAACCATGAGGCCCTCTTCGTGGGGGCGCCGTTGCGTAGCGGCTCCTACGGCTCAGGCGTTATGGCGAGGAAGAGCTTGCTCTACCGCCCGTTGAGTCCGCTTCTTTCTGAGCGTCAGTACGGGGCTCAAGCGTCGTGGACGGGGTTACTAGCGAGATTTTTCTAGAAACTGGCGTTGACCGGTTTCCTCGTAGCGGTTAATCACCCGCCGCTCTTCTACCCAGCCGCTGACCACTGGCCCGCACACGCAGGAGGCGTCGTGAGGACCAGCGGGCGTTCGCGCCCGAGGGAGGCGGCCGCAGGAGCACGCCCAACGACCGCCCCCCGCTGCGCCGATTGCGTCGCGTCGTGGAGGTTCGCCCGACTAATGCGCGCTTCGGAACGGAAGCGATCCAACGCAACAAGGAGAGTTGAGTTGAACGCGACACGGAAGTTTGCCGCCCTGGCGGCCGCCCTGGCGGCCCTGGCTAGCGGCCCGGCACTCGCCCAACAACCTGCCACGAGCGCTACGCAGCCACGAGCGCTGCCGAAGCCGACCGATGCGTCGGCGGTGGGTCAGCGCTACACGCTCACCCCGGCCACGCCCACCGCCGGCGAGGCGACCGACAAGAAGGCCGTCTGTAAGCGGCTGTTGGTCGACGCCCGCGCGGCGATGACCGCCGGCGACACGGACAGGGCGCAGCAGCTGGTGGCGCGAGCCAGCCAGCTCGAAGTGCCCGCTTCGGCGTTCGCCAAGGGCGAGGACACGCCGGCGAAGCTGGCCCTCGAGCTCCGTCAGCCGGCGCGTCACTACGACCCCGCCGTGATGACAACCGGCGCGGCCTGGGAACAGACGGGCGCCGATTACGCCCGGCAAGCGATGCACGTCCCCGAGACGGACGGCACCGAAATCCAGCCCGCGGCCGCGATGGTCGGCGGCGACAACGTCCCGCGTCTGGCGCAGTTGCCGCTGACGGGCGAGTCCGTCCAGGCCGAGCCGGCCGCGGCGGCGCGTCTGCTTGCCGAGGGCGAGCAGAAGCTCCGTGAGGGCGACCTCGACAGCGCCTTCGAAAAGTTTCAAGCCGCCAGCGATGGCCGCAGCGGCCTCGACGCCGGCGCCCAGCGTCGCCTCGACGACCACCTGCGGATGTTCGGTGGAGTTGCGTCTGGTGAGCCGGCGCCGCTCAGTGTGCCGGCGGTGGACGCGTCGATGATCGATCAGACGGACCAGGACCAGCAGGTGCTGGCCCGCAAGCTCGCCTCGACGGTGGGACAGGCCCAGGTCGAGTCGCGCGAGATCCGCGAATCCGACCCGCGGCGTTCGTTGGAGATTCTCGAGACCGCGCGACAAGAGGTTGAGGCCTCGGGCATCAACCAAGAGTACCGGGATCAACTGGTACGCCGCGTCGATCGGTCGATCGACGACGCCAACAAGTATATCGAAGCGAACAAGGCGCAGATCGAACTCGACGAGACGAACGCCGCCGTTCTCGATGAAATCGACAGCGAGAATCTCGCTGAGCAGCGCAAACGCGAGAAGATGCAGCAGCTGATCGAGGAGTACAACGACCTGCGAGACGAATACCGTCTCGAAGAGGCCGAGGTTGTCGCCAAGCGGCTCAAGGAGTTGGCCCCAGACGACCCGGTCGCGCTACAGGTTTGGGAGAACGCCAAGTTCTTCCGGCGAACCGCGATCAATAACGGCATTCGCGATGATAAGGACATTGGTATCTGGGATGCTTTGGTAGGCGTCGATCGCGCTTCGGTCCCCAACCTGCGTGATGGCCAAGATATCGCGTATGACCCCGAAACCTGGGACGATATTCGGGATCGCCCACGGATGGGTGAGAAACGTAACCAGCCCTCGCCTCGTGAGCAGGACATCCGTCGGAGGCTGAAGTCGCCGGTGCAGCTCCGCTACACCGACCGGCCGTTGGCGGAGGTGATGGACGCGCTGGCGAAGATGACCGGCGTCGATATCTATCTCGACCCGCGCGGCATGAACCAGGAGGGCGTCTCGAGCGACACGCCCGTCACGATCAACATCAACAGCGAGATCTCGCTGGAGAGCGCGCTAAACCTGATCCTCGATCCCCTGCACATGGGCTTCACGGTGAAGGACGAGGTGCTCAAGGTCACCAGCATCTCGCTCCGCGACGGCGAGCTGCAGCGTGAGGTGTACTACGTCGCGGACCTGGTGATTCCGATCCCCAACTTCCTGCCAAGCAACAACATCGGCCTGCAAGGGCTGATCAACGACGCTCTGGCGGTGACCAGCGCCGGCGCCGGCGGCCTCGGTGGCCCCGGGCCGATCTCGCTGGCGGGACCGACCAGCGCCCCCGGCGGCGCCCAGAACCCGAACGTCCTGGCGCAGAACTTTGCTCCCTCGGGCCAGATCGGCGCGGCGCCGGGACAGTTGACCACGGGTCCCGGCGGCCTCGGTGGCGCGGCGTCGGCGGACTTTGATTCGCTGATCGAGCTGATCACCGCGACGATCGCCTCGGACACCTGGGCCGAGAACGGCGGCGGCGAGGCGGAGATCCGCCCGTTCCCGACGAACCTCAGCCTCGTTGTAAGCCAGACGCAGTCGGTCCACGAAGAGATCGCCGACCTGCTCGAGCAGTTGCGTCGTCTGCAAGACCTGCAGGTGACGATCGAGGTCCGCTTTATCCGTCTCAGCGACGACTTCTTCGAGCGGATCGGCATCGACTTCGACATGAACATCAACGACAAAATCCTCGGCACCGACGAGCTCACGCAGACGTCGAACCCGGTCGCCGCGGCGTCGTTCGGTGAGAGCGTCCGCAACGGCATTCAACGCACCCGTACGGGAGCCACAGTCGGCGTGCAGGCGCCACTGGTAGGCGACTTAGCGCAGGTGACCGCGGACCTCGACATACCGTTCCGGCAAGGGAGTTTCAACGTCGCGCAGCCACAGTTCGGCGGGTTCAACCCCTCCACGGCGGCGACGTTCGGCTTCGCGATCCTCAGCGACATCGAGGCGTACTTCTTGATCAACGCCGCTCAGGGCGACACGCGCACCAACGTGCTCAACGCCCCGAAGGTGACGTTGTTCAACGGCCAGCAGGCCTTCGTGTCGGACACGTCGCAGTCGCCGTTCGTGATCAGCGTGATCCCGGTGGTCGGTGAGTTCGCCGCCGCCCAGCAGCCGGTGATCGTGGTGCTCAACGAAGGGACACTGATGTCGATCCAAGCGGTCGTCTCCGAAGACCGGCGTTACGTCCGGTTGACCGTCGTGCCGTTCTTTAGCGAGATCGGTGATGTCGACGTGTTCACATTCGACGGCTCGACGACGACGAACGCGTCGGCGTCTAGCAACACGACGGACGGCGACGACGACGGCACCAACGAGTCGGCCAACCTGTCGGAGAACCGGCAGATCACGACGGCCGGCACCACGGTGCAGCTGCCGACGTTCCAGTTCGTGTCGGTGACGACCACCGTTAGCGTGCCCGACGGCGGCACGGTGCTGTTGGGCGGAATTAAACGGCTGAGCGAAGGGCGCCGTGAGTTCGGCGTGCCGTTGCTGTCGAAGGTTCCCTACATCAACCGCCTGTTCCGCAACGTCGGCATCGGCCGCGAGACGGACAGCCTGATGATGATGGTCACGCCGCGGATCATCATCCAGGAAGAGGAAGAGCAGAAGCTCGGCCTCGCGGGGAATTAGTTAGTGGGCAGGGGGCGGTCGGCAGTGGGCAGTTGTGAGGGCCTGACGCCGCGAGCCTGACGCCAGTGCGAAACGACAATTTGGGGCCGTCGGTGAGCGATCACCGGCGGCCCTTTTTTATTGCTTGCGACGAAAAGCCGCCCCTTTGCGCCTCGGCGGCTTTGCGTGAGGCTACGC